ACAGACTGCAATTTTGATGCCCAGCTAACTGCGCCATTAGCTAAAGAAAACACGTAACCAGTAGTTGATTTTCTATTATCACAATCTCCTGCATAGTCTGCATCCACATAACTAACTAGCTTCAAGTTTTAGCCACTATAACAAATGGAGATTTCAGAAGTACCCTTCAAATAACAAAGGACTCTTTTCACCGCAATCCAATGATCTCTTCTTGGATTTGCCATGAATTTATTGATTGCTCCCACTACTTATGCAATGCCCGATCTAGTGCACACCATGGAAAACATAAGGCTCCCTATTATTGATGAATATGGTATGTAGGACATCTCTGTGTTCTCAGCTTTAGTGCTAGGGGATTGTTCTGAAGACAACTTGCAACCAACAAAAAATGGGATACTGGCTAGTTTGGATTCTTGCATGTTGAAGCGCGGCAAGATCCTTTGAACATAACTCTTTTGAGTTATCTAGACTTTCCTGTTCTTTCTGTCCCTATATACCATCATCCCAATAATCTAATTAACCACCCCCAAATCCTTCATGTCAAACTCCCTAGGTAAACAAGCTTTCAGTGTTGAGATACTTCCTTTATCAGTATCTGCAACTAGCATGTCATCAACATATAATAGCAAAATGATAAAGTGACCATTACCAAAGTATGTGCATAAATAATGATCTGCTTCGTATTTGCTAAAGCCCAAGCTCACAATGAAGGAATCAAACCTTTTATACCAACACCTTGGCACCTACAAACCAGATCCTTTTTGTTGTCCTCGACAAAGCCTTCAAGTTGAGTCATATAAATCTCTTCTTCATGATTACCATGCAAAAATGCAATCTTAACATCTAATTGGTCCAACTCCAAGTCAAGTACTACAGCCATACTCAATAAAATATGAACAATACTTATTCGAACAACATGAGAAAATATTTCGTTGAAGTCAATACCTAATTTTTGAACATATCCTTTTACAATTAGTCAATCTTTGTATCTCTCAACATTCCCGCTAGTGTCCTTTTTGAGTTTGTACACCCATCTACAACCAATGGCCTTTCGATCCTTAGGTAGTGTGACTAACTCCCAAGTTTTGTTTTTCTTCAAAGCTTCCAATTCTTCCACCATAGCCATTTGCCAATTATGAGCATTTGGAAATTTGCATGCTTCCTGGTATGAACAAGGCTTGTGCTCTTTTGTAATGCAAGCATAAGTTGTTACATAATCCTGAAGCCAGTCAGAAGGTCTTCTAATTTTCCTTGATCAACCTTGATCACTGTGAGTCTCTCCTTCAAAAATTTTAATGTGCTCTTCAGGTACATCAATAGTAGCATCAACATGTTGCTCCTGAATCTTTTGAAAAGATTCCACTTCAACTTTCTCTGTTGCCTTAGAGTTTGATTCTTTTAGCATCGAATCTTCATTGAAGACAACATCTCGACTAACAACTATCTTGTGTACAGCAGGATCCCAAAATCTGTACCCTTTTGTACCTTCTACATAGCCAAGAAAAACACACTTTTTAGACCATGCATCTAGTTTGGTCATCTGCTCCTTAGGAATCCAGACATAAGCATCACAACAAAGGTACGTAGGAAAGAATAATCAACAAGGTTTTCTGACCATACCTCTTCTAGAATTTTGCAATCAAGTGTCATAGTGGGAGAGTGATTTATTAGGTAACATGTATTGACTACTTTTGCCCAAAAGCACTTCTCTAGCCTGACTACACTTAATATGCTTCTAGCTTGATCCATAAGTGTACGGTTCATCCATTCAGCAACTCCGTTTTGTTGTGGAGTTTGAGGAATCATATACTATCTCAAAATGTTGTGCTTACTACAAAAATCTTCAAATTCTTTTGAGGTATATTCCTTCCCATTATCGGTACTCAGACACTTAATTCTTTTTCCCTTCTAATTTTCAACTAGAGCTTTGAATTTCTTGAAATAGGAAAAAGTATCACTCTTCCTTCAGAACATATACACCCATACTTTCTTGGAGAAATCATCAATAAAAGAGACAAAATATAACAAACCTCCAAGAGATTCCATAGTAGCTTCCTATATATCAGAGTGTATTAGATCTAATACCTCTCTACTTCTAGTTTTAGACTTGGAAAAACTAGCTTTGTGGTGTTTCCCAAATAAACAATTTTCACAGAAATTCAAGTAAGTAGATTTTAAACCAAGATTTTGATTAAGATGTACCTTAAGTCCTTGCTTTCTCATATGATCCAAACGTCTGTGCCAAATCATGACAGAATCGGTCACAACATTTGCAATGATGGCATCGTCGACCATGGTATCCCTGATCAAGTGGTATAGCTTCCTTGTAATTTGCCTTTTGTAATTACCATGGCTCCTTTATTGATCTTCAATTGGCCTTTTTCTCCGAAAAACTTGTAACCATCTTCATCAAACTTTCCCAATGACAAGAGACTCTTTTGTAGTTCAGGAACATACCGTACACCAAAGATTGTACGAGTGATGCAGTCAAACAGCCCCACCATCGCATGATTGGTATGTGTAGAACCAATCTCTACACGGTGTTATATGAAAAGAAACACCAGAATTTAGTATCGAGTTATGCTTTAAGTTTATACATGAGTCAATAGACAGTACTTCACCACCTTCTGATGAATCACTTCCTTCTACGATGTTTCCTTGGGAATTATTTGAAGCCGGATCTTTGTCAAAGTTGGGCCAATTTTGATATGCTTTGGGTTGCCGACAATCTTTTCGAATGTGCCCCTTCTTACCGCAGTTCCAACACTTGAGTCATTTTCTGTTACCTCTTGAGTTAGATCTCGTTTGATTTCTGTTGTCCCATAGCATAATCTATATGTGCACAAAAAGAAACAAAAGCAAATAGCAATAAAGAAAGAAAGAAAAGAGAACACCAGATTTACGTGGTTTGACCAAATTGCCTACGTCCATGGATAGCAGCTCAGAACTTTCCTTCTCACTATAAATAGGAGAAAATACAAAAATGACCTCACTAGAATCACATCCGTAACTAGCACCCAATACACCCAACACTTCACTCCTCTCAAGACACTATATATACTATACAATGAAATGAAATGGAATGGAATGAAAAATAACAAAGGAGGGACCACTATTTATACTTGAGCTGAGGGGTATAAAGAGTATTATAAAAAATATGTCTTTATAGTTAAGCAACATTAATTGGTGGTTTGCAAATGGTGTGCCACCAATTAAGTGGTGAGTTCAGTTCAGTGGGCTACCGTTTGCTTGATTCGGTGAGCCACCGACTGGTAGGCTAAGTCCTCCCTTGGGTTTTGTAATCTTGGGTTTTGGGGAGATTTGCAATCTTGGGTTAGTGAAGGGGAGATTTGTAATCTTGGGGAGATTTGTAATCCTAGATTTGTAATCTAGGATGAGTTAGTGAAGGGGAGATTTGTAATCTTGGGTTTTGGGATAAGGCAGGCTAAGTCCTCCCTTGTTCTATATGCTGTCATTTTGAGTTTAATTAATAAAAGCTTTAGATGGTTGTCCTTCCACCTCGAGTAAAGTTTGGGGCCACAAAAAAATTCCAGTAAGATTTGTTACAGGTTGAAAAGGCTAAAAAATCTAGGGGTAGACCAAAAAGAACATTAGTAGTAGTAGTAGTTGTAGTAAGAAATGATTTAAGCATTAATAATTTAAGAATGGATATAATTTTAAATAGAATGGATTGGAAAAACAAGACTCTTGTAGCCAACCCTATATAGTTGGGATGACGCATGGATGGTGATGATGATGATGAACAAAATAATTCATTAACTAATATTAATTAGTTAATAAAATTATAAAATATAATTTATATTTCATGTAATGTTACGAAATTAACAATAGAATTGTTAAATTATTAATGATCAAATGGATAATGTATTATTTATTAAACTACAATTACTATATTATTTATTAAAGGGTTACGTTGGTTTTTAGTTTCATTACTATTAACTTAATTTGTTAATTATAAAATCGATTTTTCATTTAACTAGTTACTTTTAGATTAAGTATGCAATTTTATTAATTATTTAGTTATTGAAATTTATGAAATACTATATTATTTTACTATATATGTTTAATAATTGTTAGTGCTTTTTGATTATTTTATTAACTAATTGAGGGTCATTTTTGGTATTTCATGAGAGAACCTTTTTGACAATATCAAGATAATCCTTGATCCTGAGATCACTCAATTCATATATCTTACCATCTTCCATCAGAGCATACAAACAATGAAGTTATTACTATGTTTTAATTGGATATTTGGATGGTGAAGGGAACCATCTTTCTTGAGTTAGAATTGAAACTGTACAATCTGAGACTGGATAAAATGGCTACAACTGAAAAGAAGTAATGGAAGTGATTTTTTGCATGGCTAGCTAATGTCATAGTTAGAATAATCGGTGGTTGTTTGGGTATGTCATTCTTTCAACATGCATGAACCAATACATTGGGAGCATCTCCCATAAATTGTCACACACACAATATATATGTATATATATAGCAAGATATTCTCAATGTGTGGCTGTAACGATGTGCGGGTAAGGTTCTTGTGAGTAGGAGATCCTTAACTGATTTTTTAACAAATTTTATATTATTGGATTGACTTGGTCTGGTTGGATAGACAAATAGGCATATTTGGTTAATGATAGCTGTGATTTATAGCCCTCATCTTACTGGTTAGGGACAGATGTGCTATTAAGCAATTTGAGGCGATTTTAGCGCAAGCAAACACCACCTAAAACTTGTCCATGCAAGGAACGGTTTTGTTAGCCCTTTTGACACATTCTTTCGCAAAACTCTGCTTGAATGTTGGAGGAAAATTCAACTAGTGTAAAGTTTGAAGGCTGTGTATATATATATATAAAGGTAAGTGGCTAAGTGCAGACCTCCCTCCTCTCATATCGCAATTCTAGCTCCATAGCCATAGCTATATAGCTATAGGAACTGGAGTATTAATTCTAGCTACAGACCTTCAATTTGCTTGGATCATGGGGACTAAATTTCTTATCTCATGTCTCTTGATTGTGCTCTCCATTGTTCAGCCAAAAGCTATAGCCGAATCTGAGTCTGAAAAGGAAGCGGTGGTCGATATAGAAGGCAAGGAGCTGGAAGTTGATCAACCCTACCATATTTTTTGGGATATCACACAAATTGGAGGCAGTGCAATACCCTACAAAGAAGATGGGGCTACGAAAGTAATGCTGGGTACCGGTGGCGAGTTTAAAAATTTGAGTTCGCCGGTGACTTTCTCTCCAGCTAATCCATCTGAGGGGAAAACCATCCTTGAATCTACAGACCTCAACATTAAATTCGTGGACATGCCTGGAGTTTGGCAAGTGGAAGACATGAAAGATAAGAAGGCGCCGGAAGGCATGCGTTTGAGAACAAGCATATTGGTCGGAGGAGAACCGGGAAAGCCTGGTCCCGAAACTGTGAGAAACTGGTTCAAGATTGAAAAGGCCGAAACCAAGAAACCAAATGCCCGACCCGGACAGCACTACCGGATTTTCTACTGCCCAAATGTGTGCCCCCAATCATGCAATGTTGAGTGTGGGAACATTGGAGTATCAGTAGATGATGATACGGGGGGACTAGCGCTCATACTTTTTGGTAAAAAAGGGTTTCCTTTCGTGTTCATGAAGGCCAAGTAATGTACTAATAATTAAGCAAGTTCATGGCATGAAAAAACATGTAAATAAAAAAAGGTTCCCTCTAACCTGCACTAGAGGCATCTGGTTATGATAAACATTCTCTCAACCATCTTTATATATATATATCCTGTAACTTGCATTTCATCCAATACATCTTCTACATTTTTACATCCTTCTCTCACCGAGTACTTTATTCTTTCAAGTTATATATGTTTTCTTGTTTTTTTTTTTTTTCACATTTCATCCAACTCCTGTGTGTGTATTACCAATTCTTGGAGATGTCTTTGGCTAGTGCAAGGATCGCAAAAAAAAAGTTGGAAGATCATATTGGAGGCCATGCATATCAGTCCATGAAGCCTAGTCCCTCAAATGTGAGAAACCGGTTCAACTTTGAACAACTAAAATGCACCAAACCAAATCAGTGACCATGTTACCGGATTTCTTATGGCCCTAGTTAGTGCCCCCAAATAGGGGTGTGCATATGGCCTTGGTGGTTCCGGGGTTGGTTTTAAGGTCTACCAGTGGAATTTGTTCTTTCTTTTACTCTCTCCTTTATAAAAAAAAAGCATTTTTTAAAACTTGATTTTCAATAAATATAATATATAGTTTAAAATTTACATCTTCTTTATTGATTAAATTGAGTAACTTAATATGTAAATTATCATTATATAGTTCAAATTTTATAGTTTAAATTTAAAGATTGTATATATTACCTTTTACATTACTTATTGTACACATTCAAATATTGAAGTGAAAACAAATGATCAAATCACTTTAGTAACTAAATGGGCAATTGAGACCATGGCCGTTATAACCATGAGTACTTGGGCACAAATCTTTACATTCCCAAAGGTATTTTGGGGTTTATTTTAAGGCATGTTCGGTTCCAAGACAGGTTCCACCAAGGCCAACCAAGGTTATTTCATCAAGTTAGTTTAGGTAGAGTAAACCACTTGACTTAGACCCGGCTTAGGTGGGAGCCGGTTCCAAAAATTTAGAACCATAGCCTACTCTACAACAAATTGGGTAGGGATAGTTCAAGGCAAATTTGAGGTCAATTCCTTTTAATTATGGGTAAAGCCTATCCCTTTTTACTCACTCCTACCAGAGATGTAAATCAAGTTGGATCGCCTGCGGCCCGGCATAAAATTGGACCAGCCCGACACAGCACGGCATGATAGCCCGTAGGCCATACCAGACCAAATAAGATGGTCCATGTCGTGTTGGGCTAGGGGTTCGTATTCCACGGGCTGACACGGCACGACACGACTGTTCATGCCATGTCACCCGCAACACGGCTCGTCACAGGCTGGCATGGCAGGGCCCATAGTGGA